ACAACATCACAAACGAACAAATATTCAAAGAAACAACATGAAAAAGGACAATTTTTTTTTTCATTATGTAGTCCTGTTTATAGGAGGACCACTCAAAATAAATTGTATTCAATCTCAACGAAAGTGTTATGAATCAACTCTTTATCACCTATTTTCTAAAAGACATTCAAATATAAGACCTTCCCTTTGTAGATCCAACATCCGCGTCAGAAAAAAAGAGAAAACTCAAGATGTTTTGTCAATAAGAAAAAATGTCCATTTCGTCGACAGACTGAATAGTTTAATAAACTTATGAGTAAAGTCAGCAATTGGCTCAAAATGACAGAAATTGAAAGAACAGACAAGATCCTTTTAGAGAAGTTAATTTGTTCGTGCAGAAAAAATAAAACGATCAGACAGAAAACTGTACTCTAACAATGCCTCTCAGCCTGGTTTCCATCACTCGGTGTGAAATAAATGAAGCAGGCATCACGGCAGAAAAAAAGCTTAAATAAACAAAGCAGTAGCAAAAGAAAAACACTGACTGTTGAAATTCTGTTCAAAGGAACAAAAACTATGAGGTGTCTGAGAGTTATTTTCAACTAATATGTTATTTCTTGTCAGTTTGCGGCTGTTGGTCTTTTTACTCCCACAAAGCAGAAGCAGCGGACGGTTCCCTTTTCAAAAAAGGGCTAAAACCCCATTTCCATCAATCTAGACAACACAAACTCAACATGCATATGAAGAAAAATCCAATTCATCCCAAAACGTCTCTGGAATGAGAATATGACTGATCTAGGAATGGATACAGTGACTGTGGACATCTTTATAAAATAGGCTAAAGTAGCCCTCTTAGGAATGAGCCCGTCAAGTGTTCCGCTCCTTGGAGATCTAATTAAACTATCCTCTGAGAATCACCACTCGTTGGACAGCAACATGCATCCTAATATCTGTGCAGTATGCCGAGAACACACAGCAGCAGGGTAATGAGGCAAGCCAAATACTTATCGTAAATAGAAATAGTTAATCAGGGATTATGAGCTCTTAATGATCACAGTGTCGCCAATTAATGCAATATTATCTTAGAGGCTTGTTTGCACTACCAGAACATACCTAGTGGAAACAGTCAGAAAGGGAAATGAAGAGAAGCAGAGAGGGAGGGATACGGTGGGGGGAAAGTGGGAGAAGAGAGACAGAAAGCTTAGGACTGGTGGCACGGCAGCACTGTCCTTGAGAGCATGTGAGCAGAATGTTGAGGACAGAGGGGTAAGCTGCCGGCTGGCTCACACTGAGCACAGCAGCCCAAAACTGACAGGAAGTTCAAGGCTTTCTCCACTGAATGGGCTGCAAAGGCCCAGTCCTTTCTCCTCAAGAGTGTGGATTATTGTGGGCGTGTACATGACAATTCCACAGTTTTCAGCTCATGCTTGCAGAAAGGATCCAACAGGGATCTTTTGCCTTCAGAGCGATCAGAGATGCCACAACAAATGTGATTACCGATGTCATATTCCAGTTCCCAACATGCTAATCCGACCGTAAATCATTTACAGTCACGCTGCAGCTGCAGATGCGGAAACGCCTCAGGTTGTACTTATCATACAAGACAGCTTTATGTGTTCAACACTGACGTGAGGTGAACCATGTCTGGTAGGACCACAGCTGTGAGAAGAAAGAGGTAATTAGAGCTCAGAAGCGATGTAACATTAGACCCGTCACTGCTGCGAGGCGTCAACAGCAGCGAGTTCACACGTCTCGATTCAACCCAGTGCTGATGACGGGGGAGGCGTGGAAGGGGCATTCTCTGCCCAGCACTCACCAAAGCTGCGTCCTATCACTCTAAATGTGACTTTTCAAACCAATCTCTTGAATCCCTTTAAGCATAGCGTAACGCATTATATCTATGTGTAGTCAGCAGTCAGTGGAGAAAGAACCAGTTTGTGTAATAAACTAGATGTTCTTGTCACAGGTGATCAGTGGCGTCAACTTCAATAACAGGCCGAATAGCACTTACTGCCAGCATACAGTGAGACTGAAACCATGACAAGAGCCTCCAGATGAGTACATGCAGAGAGGCTGAAATGGGGGAAGAGACCTTGCCAACCGATCAGGAGGTTGCTGGTTTGACTCTGGGCTTTGTCTGGTACCCTGAACCCACATTTCAAATGGGTACATTCTCCTATATCCTGTCATGTAAACAGGCTGGTTGCATTTCCTCTTTAAAATGTGGGAGAAATGTTTTGGTCAAAACGCCACCGTGACCTGTCTGTTTACTGACCGAGTGTGAGCGGCTAAGCAAGCAGCCGACTTCTTCCTCCGTTCCCTCTGCCTGAAGCATGCCTGTCAAGAGGCTGAGGGTTTCTTCATGCCATGGCAACAAAGAAAGTTTGCCAAACAGTTTGAGAATAAACACGACGGAATACCTTGAGAGCTTTGAGCATCGGGGCTGTAAACGGATGGTGGTGGTCCAGTCTTCTATGTAGGTGTGCTGACTAAGGGGACGCCGTCATGTCGGCTAGTGCTAACACCAGGTGCAAGTGACATGAATTTACATCCCAGTGTGTCAAAGAAAATGGCTAATTAAGATGAGATCGCCCAGGCAGATTCCATCCCATAAGAGAACACACAGTGGGAACATGGCAGTGTAACACTTTGGCAGCTTCACTTGAGAAAAGGTGTCCACTCAATCAGGTAAAGAAGTACAAAACAATTAGGCATGCACGTTCAAGAAAGATGGAGTGAGTTGGAGCCTGGACTGATGGTATTTTATATATCAACCGATCTCTCATAATGTTGGTCCACCTGTTCTAATGTTTGGCATTTTCACTGTGCTATTTCTATTTATTTATTTCAGGAACCAGCATGGAGGTTCATCACCATCAACTTGTGGACATGTGGAGAACAGTGTTGTGGGGATGTGAAGCTGACTGTGCAGAAAGACAGAAAACTTTGTGCTGATCAGAGCTGGGCATAAATTCAATCGCTATCTAACTTCTGGAGCCTTCTATGGCCCAGCCCCTGAAAGAATACACTGCTCAGTACAATGAGAATCAAAGCGCTCAAAATGACCTCCAGTGGGATCTTTGATATCACATTGCTGAGCTTTACACAAGAGTAACTTTTCTTAATGGGTTTTAAAAAAGCGTTTAAAAGCAAAGTAGTGCTTCCAAATTGTAAGTGAATGAGGTTAAACACTTTTCCTCAAAGGACTCCATCCTTACAGCACATTCCATAACATACTATGAATCAAATCCATCTCCTGAGTCGCCTGTCCCATTTTTCATGAGCCGAATTACACAGAGGAATATGTTGGGCTAATTCTTGCCTGAATCCCTGTGGAGGTTTGGGTAGAGAGAGAGAAGCTCGCTCACTTAAATGGGTCTGCAGCCGTTGTGGATGTTCCAAAACATCTGTTACTGCATTACACATTATTACTTCTTTTGAATTCTAATAGAGGGTGGAGCCTCACGTAGACCAGTGTTTTCCCTCTACTTTCCCAGCAAGCGAGTGGTCTTAAGGGCGGGCAGGAAGTGCAAAGGGGGAGAAATGACCCCTTCAACTCCACGTTGGCTCACTGGATGATGACGGCAATGAGCTGCACATCTGAAATTCCTATCAAACACACGGCAGGGCAGCGGCTCGGGTTGCCTCCAGCCTCACCGGCACAGCTCACACCTCTTAGGGATCTCTACTCTTCATTTTAAACACAAACTGTGATCACTTGGAGGGCACAGAAGACATCCCTGCATGGAGGGCTCATAGCTCTGAATGCATTACAACATGCATCCGATAGACAGAATTCTCCAGGCCTTCATGATTCAGGCCACACAGATGTGGAAATGCAGCACAACAGTGAGCCCAAGACGTCGATGAGCAGTAGCCACAATTTATATAAACGTCAATGGAAAGCAATTCAAATCCAATCTATTTTTCTCTGACATAATTGGACTAAAGATGAAATGTTTTTTAACCTGAAAATGTAATTTAAGAAATAAACTTATTATAAGAAAAAGATCAGTGCAATAAGGAGAAATTTCATACCCGACGTGTTCAGTAAAAGATTAAAACTGAGCCTTTGAAAACAGCAAGCGAGTCATAACTCCATCAAAACACTGAACGTGCCGCTTTACAAACTGTTCGGCATCAACAAGGTCGGTGAATTCTTCATGAAAATATTTTTTTTCCTCTTATTTAGGAAAGTGACGCTCTGAAATCATTCTGACTGAATGTGTGGCCACAAAACATTCTTGAGAACACCTCAGAAGGGTTGTGGGGGGGTTGGAGCCTGCAGCTGCCACCGGGTGAGAGGCGGGCACACCCCAAACAGGTTTCCAGTCACAGGGCCGCACAGAGGCAACCCCCCCTCTCACACACACACACATTCACTCCTAAGGGAAATTTGTGTCTAATTAACCTAACATGCATGTTTGTGGACGATGGGGGCGTAAACGCAGGCTCCACACAGAAAGGCCCTCAGCCCCCGGGGGCTGTGAGGAGCGGTGCTAACCAGCACACCGCCGAGCAGCCCCTTCTGACCATCAGGTCGAAAATCAACTGACCTGGGAATATGGGCTTTGACAAAGGGGAAGACACCCACCATGAAACAGGAGCTAAATCTTTATGAGCCCACTTGGCTCCCAGCTGCCGGCTGTGGATGGCTTCTCCACACACACTGGAAACACAGCAGCCTGGTGTTTTTCTGCTGGCGAGGTTTGTTCACATCGGTTGCTGCTGTAGCTAACGGGGCGGGGGCTGCGGAGGGCTGTCATCTTCAGCTGACAGCCGTTTTTTGAGTTGTCAGCAAATGGGATGAAAAGGCGGCTCACACGTTTTCTCTGCCCTGCTATTTTTGTGTTTTGTCACAGTGTGGATGGCGGTGAGAATGAGCTGCCCATCTTCACCGCCGGCGTCTGAACACGCCGAGATGAGCCCACAGCTCCACTGGCTGTCAAAAAGTGTCGGTGAGTTTGTCTGCCTCCCCCCCCCCCCCCCCCCCCCCCCCCCCCTCTCTGGATGTATGCTTGTCAGTCAGCCTCTGCTTTCCTTCCTATATCCACTTGTCTGTTCACCTCTGTCTGCCTCTCTCCCTCCACCTGCCTCTCAATTCTGGCTCGTCTGCCACACACATCAAAGCCTCTTAGCAAAACAAACATCCTTCCTTTCCCTTCGTTCAGACGGTCACTGGAGCCTACTTTACACAGCAAATGACGACATGTACAACAAGTCTGCTCTATCCCAGCCATCCCAACCCTAAACTAACCCGCTTTGTAACACGTCTCTAATCCGCTCTCACAGGCAAACTGTGAAACATCATCAGCAATCAGATGCAAATCCTGACAAAGGCTGCCTCTGTACATATATGAAATCTACATTCTTTAGCCCCCACATTGCCTTTCCCTCTCTATACACCAATGCCCACGAGGTAGTAGAGTTTAATTTCTTTGCTAAGCCCAGTCACAATTACGAAGGCCTGTGTAATTCAGAGCTCAGGGGGCACGTTTCCCCCCGATTTAAGACAATCCATTCAATTAAGAGCAGATTAGCACCTGAGGGCTGACAGAGAGGTGATTTAATTAACCTCAGCCTATTAGTGCGAGAACATTGCTTTGTTTTGGAGTAACTCAACACACCAGAATATGTCTGCATCAAAAGTGTTTCAGAGTCCTGACTGACAATGGAGTTTCAGGAAGCAGAATATGTTCAATAATTACCGTTAATACAGCAGGCAGGCTTCCAGTTATCATGGCACGTTTGTGAAAAACAACACCAATAATGTTTTAATCAATGCCTGAGTCCATTTCATTTTAAATCTGGAAATGTTGCTAAAATCAAACCTTCTTTTTTCATACTCGGAACACAAACAGACCAAAGCATCACTGAGAGTCTCATGTGGTACAAGTTCTTTGATCATTCCTAAACCAAAAGAAGAGAAAGACAGAAAGAAGAAAATGCCACTACACTGATTTTATAAACTCCTTAACAATACCCTAACACAATTAGGCACAAGTCCCAGTCATGTACTAGGGTGATTTCTACGAGGACAGGCCTTGTGGATAAGGCTGATAGAATTACACATAGATTATGGGATGGAAAGTTTGTGAATCTTTGTCCAAATTTTGGATGAGCAAGTTGAGATAAAAACACTGAGCAAAAACACTGAGGGCCGTTGCAGAGGATTCCGGCTGTGCTGTGATTAGGTGCAACTGCATACAGTTAAACCAACAGGAATTACATTTTGTTGATAAAAACACTTCAAGTAGTGACTGAGATCCAAGAAACTTGACTGATAGTCGATCAACTTGCCAGATGAGGTCGATCCGCATGAGTAACTCGAGCTCCGCTGCTAAATTCCCCCAAATTATCGCCAAGCTGGAAATGAGTCAATCTCATGAGCAACAGCCTGAACAAATTAATTTGCCTTTCGCTCATTTGGATTGGAGACAGGAAGGAAGATTGGTTTATCTTTATGCATGAAACCGTGTGCGAGGAAAGAGTTCAGCAACAGCGTGCGCGCTTCACTGTGAGTAATATAGAGCATCCATTCATCTTCAGAGCAAATGTAGAATGTATGAAAAAAACAAGGTATGCTAAAGGAAATGACAATAATTTATGTGTAGAGTAAATATATCCATGCCAAGTGAACTAGTTTTCCCAAATATTAGGAAATACACAACGTAACACACATGATTGTGTAACTGACTAATTACACAGTCACTACTACACATGGAAAAAAGTAGATGCTAATGCTACCTATACTCATTATTGAGAAAATGAAATTCTTCCACCACTGACCAGAGTTTCTAATGGATTATTGATTGCAACCACAAAGGTGATTGCAAGAGGGTACATCAAGACCACTTCATCCATCAGGCCTGTCAGGGCTCCACAACAGGAGCACAGGGCAGCAACACATTATTAAAGACAGTGGGTACTTATTCCCACTTTACTCTCACAGAACCCACACCCTGGGTCAGGCTCTGATTTAGGAGCACTTCTTGTAAAGGGCGTCAATATCAGTTGTTGTTGCAAAGGAGACTTTTAAGACCAGAGGGAAATTGTCTACCACACATCAAATAGTCTTACAGCGTCTCTAGGGATTTTCCATATGCACGGTGACATCTGTGAAGGTAAAATAAATCTAAAATGGACAGGCGGCTCAGATTAGTGAAGCAGGACTTTCCACAAAGAACTGAGGAACAAGCCAATGTGGAAAAGGTAACCAGTTAGGAGCAGCTGTAAAACACACATTCTGAAGTCACTGCTCCTGCTAAATCCAACTCGCCACACGATTGAGAAAACCCTCCAGCTAAACAACATGAATTCACAATATACCACTCGCAAGAATAATATGATGAGAATCACAAAGTGATTCTCTTATCAGTTTCAAAGGTCCTTGACTGAACATTGATTAAACTGCTTGGTTGGGTAGTCTTTGAATAGCATCTGCTGCATCAGCATAAAAGATGAAGTCACAAACGTTCCAAATGTAACAGGTATTACATTGGCCGGCCGTCCAGATAAAGAGCTCCCTGTTCCGGGAAAGTGGTGTCGTGAGAAGTGCCGAGCACAGCAGGATCGCTACGCGTCACTGCACTAAGAGTGGCAGACATCTTTCACGTATGACTAAAAGGAAGACAAAGAAGGCTTTATTAAAGTTTCTAAGAAACATATCCATCTAATTTATCAATCATTACACCAGCGTTAGCCTCTAAATGTTCGGCAGATGAGGGTGTTTATCCTAATACACTCATATTAGGCCTTATTCTAAGCACAGATACGGTTTTCTGTCATGTTCAAAGCTCCCTGCAGCATATTCCATGATATCTTAATTCATTTATTACCGAGGGGGCCAAGTTCTACTTGTTCAATCAGCGCATGTCTCTGATAGAGGATAAACAAGTTAGTTCCAATGTAACCAAATCCAAACTTTTAAAATTCAAAAGTGGCTGAAGCAGCAGGGGTCCAATCCCTCCTGCAGGTAATACACTCCCCTCAGCTACCAAAAGTCCTTTATGTATTTATTTAGCAGTGTGTGTGCAGGGAATTCAGCTACAGTTACATGTATAATGAGCAGAAGAAGGTCTTCAATATTTACTACACAGTCACAGCATCATAGTATCGGACTTGCCTCAACTAATAACAAGATTCCCCTCCTAAAAATATACACTTGGACAAGGACAGTGGCCCAATTAAATGGCAAGGCGAGCTATAACGGCAGCTCCAGGCAGCCGCGCACAGAACTGATTTTCTGAACTGGCAGGATTTGAGTAACTCCCACCCTTGTCGATCCCTGAAACTGCATTCATTTCTTTTCCACTCGACTCGTACATCAAACCTCCTTTAAGGTCTCGTTAGGAGAGCAGAGTTCTGTAAATACAGCAGATGCAAGTCGTTTGTTCTTTACTGTAATATTAAACGCATTACAATCTAAAACAGGCAGCTGAGTCTAATTTATACTGCTTTCTTCAATACTGGGAAAGGCTCACAAATTATGTATGATGGTGACAGCATACAGACTGTGGGCTGGCAGACTGTGGCAAGCTAACAAGTTCCCATTCTGGTGTCTCTGATTACATTTTACAGATCTGTCTGCCAAAACCAATTTCCCTTGCAAAGTAGCTCTTTCTTGACATCCACAGATGAAAGGACCAAGCACTGACACATTCAACATCTCGGGCTCTTGGGCTGCTGCTCTCGGAGCTTTGCTGGATTTGACATTTGTATAACATCAACTTAAAGTGTGTACAAATAGTGTGTAACGCTGGGAAAACAAACGCACACAGCCACAGAGATAAACTGTGAGAAAAAAGATGAAGCTATTTTCTACAATGTTAATGCTTGAAGTGAGCGCACCATGCGTCCCCTAAATTAATCTAATTCCACTCTTCAAATAGAAAAGCTGTTTTAGTCTCACCAGCCACCTTTTTCCTGAGTTCACTTCATGTTATCTCTGTAATACAGAGTGTACAGAGAGTCTTATGTAACACAACTCATGTTTCATTACTCAATTGTCTGTTATGACAAGCACTAACTTTGTCTTTATTAAACAGCAGGCTGTAAAGGATGATGTGAAACTTCAGTTCATCTACATACATCAAGTGATTTGGTGGAAGCTTTGGTGGGTGCAAGATGGAGAATATCTTGATGTCAGCTTTCTAATTAAAGAACAAGGTATTGAAAGAACTGTTGTGACACGTTTTCGATACATCGAAAAAGAAACCTTATTGGTAGGAACAGGCCAGTGGGACCAGTAGTGCTAATTACAGGCTCCCAGTGAGGTGGAACTTTGACTGAACCGGTTTTCGGGCCAATTTTTTATAAAGAACAAACAAAAACAGAGATGTCTGAATCTGTATGTTGATAGAGTTGAAAATAGGTTCTCATATCAAGTTACCAAATCAGCCTTTTGTAAACTGCCTCCAATGAGAATCTGATAAAGTGTTTTCTGGTCTGTGACAGACTGTCAGATTGGTTCTTAGTCATTTCCTGAATTCCTTGACAGCTAACAAAGATTGTTGAACAGTGCTGCTCAGTGCTGAGCTAATTGCTTTCAATCTGGACAACTTTTGCGCCCAATCAGGATCCTCCTCCAAACACACACTTTGGAGCAGCCTTGGCAGTGTCAGTCACGCTCCATCCTCATCAGCATGCAAATGCACAAACCTTGGGCTGACAGCAGAACAAGAGGCTTACATTTCAGACAAAGAGGAGGGCAAGGAAAACTACCCACATGAGCTAATATCTGACTTTTGAGTGCAATGGGAAAGTGTTCAATTGGCATTCATCAAACTGCTGCATTAGCTGTGGGTTTTATCTTTGATCAGCATGGACGGGAACACAACAACAAGCAGTACACACCAATTTTCATTCAGAGGGATTCAGTCAAAGGTACAAGAGTGGGCTTATCAGAAACTGCTATCCGACAGCCTGTAGAAGACAGTGGGATGCAAGTACATGCTTGTCCCTTGAGAGGTTAATAGGTTTTTGGAGGCGTTCTGAATACAATGTAGTCCCCCGAGCACCACAAAGAAACATGCAACAAGTGGTAATGGGAATGGATTTGATCGGCTTCTGTTAGTGGGTGTACTGCATTTAAAAAACTAATTCAAAGACATTTACTTTTGGTGTTAAATAGCAGTTTTTTATTCTGAGATCAACTATGAGAGGAGACATTAGATCAAAAAGATCTTTTGTCAAATAGAGTTTTGAAAAGATTGTTAGAAAATTAGACTGAGGAAAGCGCAGAAGGTACAGACATGACTCAGCAAATGCTTAGCAGGCCACCATGAAATATTAAAGTGCCTTTAAACCACAGTCTGGACTTGTGTCACATGGCGGCATTTAAATTCAGGAGTGTGCTGTGTGTATTTTGCAATGACTAGTCAGGAGATGATAGTTACATTACAGGTCAGATCAGGTCAGAACGCTAGAGGTCAGATCAGGTGGAAACATTAGAGATCAGTTGGTAACTTTAGTACCATGTTTTCAGAAAGCAGGGATTAACACTGTGACCATTTTTAACCCTACAGAGTTTGTGTTTCCATCAATTCCTACATATGTGAAAAATATCAGTCCCATAAAGCTGTATCAAATCCAACTAAAGTCAGCCTTGGAAAATACCCTCTTTTGAGTGATCAAAATGAACATTACACAGAGCACACTATCACTTTGTAAAATTTCAGCACTAAGAAAAAACCTGCATTATTTATGGTTTTTAGTCTCTGTTGAACACTGGCAGACTCTTTATTCACAACTCAGCAGACCGATTACTGGGCATAGAACAAAAAGTTCTCCGTGCTTATTGGTAATGTTTACTCAAAACTGATAATTAAAAAAAAACAAAAATCAGAAAACATCTATTTTCTTGTCAAAGGCTCACATTTAGGGTCAGAAAAACAGAAAAAAATAACATCAAAAATTCATAGTTTACATCAGATGATAGTCATGAACTCTGTTTTAAGAGGTCGTTTTTATCACTTCAAACTTCCATCAGCACATTAATAACTGCAGAAATTACAAGTTTGTGGTGGCTGCAAAAGGATTAATGGCAAAAGAAATTAGGTGTCTATAATAATGCCAAATGGTCTGTATTTCTGTACCATTACAACCCGTTTCTGTATCCACAGGTCTGGGCTGAACTCTGACCCTTCATCAGATCTGAAAGTGGAAAATTTTTCGAATTTCCATTAACTGAACATTTTGTACATTGTAGTTTTCTACACTGAATATATATTTATAGACAACTTATATCAATTCCAGTTAAAGTGACCTGAGTGTTCTTATACTTTAATAAATACACCCAAGTCAACATTAAACATATAATTTTAGTCCAAAAATATTAATCACCAGATCACATGACTTTAAGACCACTTTCTCTTTGTGGATATTTAACATTGTTCCACTTCTCCCATTGTCGTATTAAACTGTATTTACCGCATATAACCTAACACCAGCTTCACAGTCTGCATTGTGTTCACCTTTTCCGCCTCTGTTCATTAAAAAAAAAAAGAAAACGCACAATAAACCCTCTCAGCCACATCTTCTTGCAGTTGGTTTAATTTCTAGTGAAATTTCTTTCACATAGCAGCTTCATTCAATTTGAATATATTTTGTAAAATGACTAGCTTGTATAAAAAAAAAAAACTTTCATTTTTGTTTTTAAAACAGAGCCCTTGCTTGACATCTTTTTCTACACTATACACAACATAGCTAAAAATGCAGTAAACGATTTTCTTTCAATCATTTTGCACCAGCACATAAACACTTTGTGCAGGGTTCTTGGATCCCTGCAGCATAAGAACAGCTGTAAGGGGGGCAGATGTGGAACGCCAGGCTAAGCTGGTGTAGACTTTGAGTGCTCTAGTGCTGATGCTAGTAGATGGAAAATGAAGGAAAATTCCTACATTTGGGTACATCTGAATTTTTCCAGGTTATGTGTGTAACGTTTGCTGTAGGTGTATGTGTGTTTCACCTTGCGTATTCCCTCACACCAGAGCTTTGAAGCGAGCTGTTTAACAAAACTGTTGGCACACGGCAGTGCACCACAGCACACCATTCATCACTAATGAACAGAAGGGCTAATGGAAGTGCAATAACAATTTGATGCAAAAACAATAATCAAGATCATTATTTTTCTAGATGGTGCTATGTGGCAGTATTACTGTGATGCCTAACAGAATACCAACTGTTAACAGTTCATTATATGATGTTAAAAGAAGCATAAATATTAACATTTAATGCCTGCTAGTTGAAAGTATAATGACTTTTATTTTAAAACGGGTACATTTTAAAGCAGCGTGCCACATATGATGGTGCAAAGATAGTGCTGGTCTCTTCATTTCACAAAGCTCCAACAGGTTGAATAGTTATAATTCCTGCCTGAGGTAAACAGAGATGTTCAATCATTTATAACTAGACACAGGAGAATTACCATCAGTGACAGATCTAACAGAGTGCAGTAGACCTGAACTGACTGGGTCTGGATTAAAAAAGACTTTAGATTCATTCTTTCTTTTAATTTTTCTCCACAAAGTGTCTAAAATGTATCATTTGGTTTGGGAAGTGCAGGAAGCAGGGTCACACGGTTTGGTACCTTACTCATTAGCTTCACCTCAGCGTTTCATGGTCCAGTTAACATGAGCTGTCCTGATAGAGAGCCACCGTTTAGCTTTGACTTGGTAATGATCGGACGAAAGATCTGGGGACCAGCAGGGGAAAACTTTAAGAACAGAGCACAGAGTACAGATTATAAAAGGAAACTGCAAATTTCAAAAGGTAATTTAAAAGCTCAATATGTGCCAAATTGCCCATTATGGTTTGTCTAACCTTTGAAAGAGAGAGGTAGGGAGCAGAGCAATATCATTATGTATTATGCTTTGTCTGCACAGGGGCAATCAATGCTTCATTTCACAGCGGTCCAGCTGGGGGAAAGGCCACCCACAGGAGGAGAGGGAGACACACAGAGGTTCAAAGATAAACTGAAGGAGTCTGCTGTGTTGAGCAGAAGCTTGAGTCCCTGAGAGCGTGTCAAGATGATGATGATGATGGTGGCCCTGAGGAGCAGCTACAACAAGCACAAAGACAACAAATATCCACACCTACTTCCCTACTTCTAGTGGTGCAGTTAACGCAGTTTTGAAGGAGAGGCCTCCCCAAACAGGAGCCCACTGAGTGACAAAGGCTTCTGCTCTGCGGTGGATCCTTCTGACAACAGCAGGAACCATGACAACTGCCCTCTCTGCTACCGAGTGCAGCAAGGGCAAGGAACCCAACACTTTCCACACCCGGAAACACGAAATGACATGCCCATAGATAATGTCAAATATCTAGAAATTGTAGGTTTCTGAGAAACTTCCAAGACTCGAACAAGAACTTTAAATCACACTGCATTAGCTGAACGTTTGTGGAGGAAACCTCAAACCCTTTTATTCATGATTTCAGAAAACACCTTTCTCATCAGCAGTTTCGAGGTAAAAAAAAAAAAAAAAAAGAGAGTTTGCCAATGCTGCATTGCCAATTTGGTTACATTCCGAGGAAAACTTCCTAGCTTTTCTTTTTTACATTATTTCTGCTGGAAGACTGAAGTTCTGCGTATCCATTTGTCATTGAATGCCTCAAGTCGAGCAACAGCAGTGCAAACATTACAAAGAGTGAGCCGACACTGGTGGAGCTTCGCTTACGGAGGCAACAGCTCTTAATTAACCCTTACAAATAAAAACAAACCACAAGCTCTCCTGACACTGAAGGAGCCCTGGGATACCTCAACCGTGGAGCCTCCCAGGCTTTAAGGAGCCGATAAGCAAGGGAGGAAACATGATGGGACTTCTGACTGTTTTGTTTGGCAGGCCTTCATGTTACATCAGCGCTCCCATTTGTGGGGACTGAGCCAGATGAATGCATCCAGCAGAGCCCGACCCTCCAGAAAAGGTGATTCAGTAGCGACTGTCCGAACTGCACATGTAAATAAAACAGTCCATTGTGCATTTCTGTTTGTATGAGCTTCTCTTACTGTGTAAAGAAGTGAACTCTTCTGTAGACAGACGCTGTGCATATAGGCGGATACTTTCTTTCACTTCAGTTGCAGCATATTAGAATAAAGAGTGGTCCTCATTAAAGTGATTTGGCAGTTCACACATGCACAGGAAGCTCAGCTCTGCATTGCCGGGTGTTTCCACACATAAAGCTGGTGTCAGAGAATCAGCTGAAACACACAAAGACGCTTCTGCTGCTGTTCTCACCAAAGCAAAGTGGAGTTAACCTGAGCACAAGCCTCGTGTTCCTTTAAATCTTAACGTTGTGATTAAACATTCTCAGCAGAATTAGTTAATTATGCACCCAGATTTTCAATTTCGTGTTAGAAGAATCAGTTCTGCCTGAATAAACAAAGACTCTTGAAACGCAGTTGGTTTTTCTGTTCTGAAGTCTTGTGAACATATTTGTATTAGCCAAACAGGCCATAAAAACAGCATGGAAAAGACACCAGTGACAGACTGATCAGCAGCTGTGTCTCGACTTCTCATCCTTTTCTGCCTCACAGAACAACAGCAACAGTGACAAACTATTTTTTGTGAGCCAGTCTTCAGCAGCCATAGCCTGCTGTAAAGAAGGCTGACTTTCCCATATGGGATTTAAAAAGGCAGCAGGCTAGGCGCCACCACACAGCCTAATGCAGCTTAGGTTTATCCCCTTTTTAACATGTTCAGTCTATCTCCATATCTACCTTCAACAGTCAGCTAAAAATCCTCCCAGGCAGCAGATGCATGAAGAGAGTTCAGAGTAAATAGGAAGAATTCTGTATAATAGCAGAGGATGCTATTGAGTGCTGGACTTTCAGACTTCTAGAAATCATTCACTGACACTCAGACTATTGAATCAGCGCCGTGCTTTCAAAGAGGATGGATATGACGACAGAGCTCCATGCACCACTAACACTCAGCCTGTGTAACTGGCAGCCTTGGGTTATTCTAGCGTGCACTACACGGAAAGTGCACAAACAGGAATAAACAGAGCAGACTATTGTGAAAAACATAATAGCTTATCATGGGGTCTGCCTGCTGAGTGATAAGGCCTGTGTGGATAGCCTGCGGGCTGCTTCCACTCACTGCTCGCACTGTTCAGCTGATACCCTGCTATTAGCTCACAAAACTAAATCCATCCTGAAACCACGCTTTACTGGTTAATGCTTGCAAGCATGTGTCTATATCCTTGACGCACACACAGACACACACACGAACACACACACACCCTGGGAGGCGCTAAATCAACAGACCCTGCTGGCATTTACATAAGAGCACCTTTTGTTTCAGTGTAAACCTCCCATTTACAAAATATCAGCACACTAAATGAAACACACTGCCAGCAGACTCCTGCAGGAGTGCACTGAGGTCTGGTGAGCAATACTCCAGAGTCAGGACGTCAGAGTGTGTGTGCAAAGCTCAAAAGCAAAGGATGCTTTGCAAAAATCTTGACTGAGCAACCAAAGTTTGACATAAAAGGTTCTGCAAATATGCTCAGCCTTTATCGCCCATTTTACACTAAATTGAAACATAAATTACTAAACTAACATCAAGCACGATTAAAAGTACATCAAACTATCAACCGAGACCATGGACTCATTAGGAAAAGGTTCACAGAAGTAACAAATCCAGTGAGAAGCAGGTTTTTATTTCTCCGAGTTTCATTATCCTACATTTCTCTTTTGCATCCCCAGGAGCTGCACACTGCCAGCCATTAGAGCCAGCGGTTAAATCAGAGCCAAATTAAAATTGTTATCAATTCAGAAATTCTTTAGATGTGAGGAAACTAAAGACTGTCTTGTGGGAAATCTACTAAATCTACTGATTGTCATCAAGGTCGTCAACCAAACAAAACCGTATGCTTCGCTTGCTACTATGCGTCAAACCTGACCTTAGAAACAATTAAGGAAACCTCCTGTTGAAACTCAAAGCAACAACATAGCAGAAATGTACACCAAGAGTGTGTTTTTAAGTGTATATTTCAGAGCCTCAGTCATCCCAGTCCCCCCTTAATAAACATAAGATTACCAAAACATGCTGTCAAATTAATAAAACAGAGAAAGTCTATAAAGTTAATGAATGCAGAGAGTGGCTGGCTGATGCTAACTAAACCACAGCATGCTTTGTGCGTGTGTTTGTAAAAGATTGCACCAGTGAACAATTATGCAGATGTAATGAAATCATAAAAGACCCCCATAGGCAAACACTTATCCAAGGCGGCTTTTTTCCTGCATGTTGTTTGTGGATGTTGTGCTGGATCTGCTGTCAGTCTGCTCTCTTTCCCCCACGGCAGAAGGCACACGAGTAAAACAGCACAAACCCAAAACATTTGGGGTCGATATCCAAATCCATCAGGCTTTTCAGAGCATAGCAGTTCCTGTTTCTTACACTTACACAAAATCACAATATAAAAAGGAGAAACACTGACACACCCTCTACATAAACACCTGTCCAACAGCTGACTTATGCCGTGTTTCTCCACAGGTTTTGCACCAGTTGCTAAAAACAAAAAGGCGTATCAACGGCGTAGATATTCCATCAACAACTGAAACTATAATCACTGTTAGTTACCTTTAGCCTATGCACAGCAAGGGAAGAAGATGGGCTTTAGTCATTTTGGTGGGATTTTCCTCCTTTAACATGAATTTAATGATTAACTCCTGTTCTCTATGTACTGTGATGTCAGAGTGCCTTTTACATGCTGAGGATGCAGAGATGACACACATACCCCAACATATAGCATCTGAGATTCAGAGATTTGAGAGGTGGACCCATGTGTGGGCAGGTTTCATTCCATTTAAACTTGTGGATGTGTGTCTGTGTAATCTTAATCCAATACTTTCTCATAAAACACATCAGATCAAATCCTTTCTCTTCTGCTGGCTAAATCTAAAACAGCTAAATCTCAGCGTTACTCGCCCGGCCAGCATTCATGGATTCATCCCTCATCAGTGACAACAGTCGTGTATGCAGCACAACGAGTGATGAATGACGGGCCTAAACCATTAGCAACAAGCGTTTTCACCCTCACGCAGCCACAGACACAGACGTGCAGCACACCTATGGCTGCTCCAAACCTTGTCAGGAAGTCCCAGAAAGAACATTTGTCATATGATTCATGGCTTATAAATAATAACAACAGTATTACAGTTTTACTCACTCCCCCTCTTATGGAAAGGCTTTCACACCCAATATTCAGGCGAAGGACAGGCTGAAGAGCTGCACCCTCATGGAGCATAACAGAAGACATCTCTTGTGGTCTGCATCTCAACTCTGAATAGGCTACAGACCAAATCTAACGAATAGATAGAAAGAGGCCCGTTTCCTTCTGCTGAGGCCTGGAAAACATTGGACCTTTAAGCGATCTCATTCATTTTGAGACATTCCATTCATTTATAACATTAAATGCCACACAAAAATTCCATCTCTCCCACAGGCCCCCCAAGCTGAGTGAGAAAATTGTGAGTAACGAGAGAAACAGCTCACGGGTTATGACCTGTGACAAGTGTACCACTGAGAAATTAGATGTTCTGTTTTTAAACTGTCAGATAAATGTATTACACTGTCTACCCACAAACACACCCACAAACACTGCGTGTGGGCCCGGCTCATCTCTTAAGAGGCGGAGCACGATGTGTGATGCGGAGGCTGGAAAAGCAACACCTCAGATAAAAAGAAACAACTCGTTTCCCCAGCTGTCAGCTGTCTTACAGACACTGAATACATCAAGTCCAATTACTATTTCTAATCATCAGAAAGTGGAGCTCATTGCAAACATTCTGCTACCTGCTGTTTTTATAGTGGCTTTACCCCTGAGGTGTGAAAATGTCAGCACACCTCTGAAATCTGGGATCAGCCCCACTAACTGGTCATTTTCCTGCCTCCGCGGAACAATAAAGTTTCATGTGTCAGCCAGTTCGGTTCAGAGAAACATGCTAAACTAACGTCACTGAGGGTTTGGAGTGAAAAAAACAAAAGGAAAACAAAGGTCAGCTGAGAACAATTAAAAAGTACCTTTAAAATTCAACATCTGGGCTTACATTAGACT